AAAAGGGAGCATTAATTATTAACAGTACCTGGATCACTGTGAAAACTGTGCTAACTATAAAGTATGAACCAACCAATAAGGAACACAGCTAGTTAAGGATTGAAAAATAAGAGTAAACAGCACTAAATGATGGACTGTGGAGTGAAAAAAAAATATCAAAGAGAAAGAGTCAAAGGAATAGAAGTATAAAAGGGAAGCAGTAAATGAGAAATAATGAGGGAAAATGGATAGTGATAAAGGATGAAATGGAACGGGGAGGAGAACAGGTGCAGGAAAATATACATGATAAATCTATGCAACCAACATCATTACTAAATAATAGCTAGAAAAGTTATCATGAACAGTAAACAACCTATAAGAATATAACACGTATTGATGCATATTGGTTCGAGAAAAATTGAGAAATCAATATTTATTAATTAAGTAATAAAAGTGATGAAATTTTAACAATAATTTTATCAATAACGACATAAGAAATAGAAAAAAGCAGAACCAAGGAAAAGACTGAAAAAAAAAAGACAAAAAAACAGGGGAACAATTTTCCCCTAAAATTGCTGAAATTTGTAGATAATACAACATGACAGTAATACATATTCCAGAAAATACAAAAAGAAAAAATCTTTGATTTATTTAATACATCCGTAACAAAATCAGAATAAGTCATCAACCTAACAAATCAAAGGACCACCTAAAAAGTCCAGATCATCAGCACAATAAATGAAAAGGAAAAAAAATCTGATATTACCGATACACGGCGTCAAATAAAGCAGAAGAAAAGCCACTAAAGTAGATAAAGCACCTGCAAAAACAAATTCTTTAAAAAAGATGATAAATTAACAACATAAGAAATACAAAAAGACAGAAGCAAGGGAAAGACTGAAAAAAAAGAACCAAAAAAGAGGCAAAAAGTTTTGCCCTAAAATTGGTCCAGAGGATACGGAAAGAAAAATTCCTGAGTTATTTAATACAACCGTAACAAAATCACAATAAGTCATCAACCTAAGAAACTAAAGGACAACCCAAAAAATCCAGATCATCGGCACAATAAATGAAAGGGGGAAAAATCTCACATTATCCCCATGCAGTGTGAAATGCAACAGAAGAAAAGCCACGAAAGTAGATAAAACACCTGCAAAAACAAATTCTTTAAAGAAGATAAATAAAGTGCTTATACCAATTATAAATATAACTGAATAAAAATAACCGACCAAAATTAGAGTAAAAATTTATAATCAAATTAATAATGCATAAAGAACGAAATCAAGAACAGTAATCATACAAACCACAAAATAAGAAACATAAATAAAAAAGCAACGAAAATTGGATATAATCACAAATGAAGACAGCAGCAAAACCCAAAGGAGAAAGAAAATTAAATCCCTAAACTCCCGCCCAAACCCCACCAAAAGCACCCACACACCAACAACACAAAGGAAAACCCTCAGGATCCCAACCAAAATCGAACCAAACAGAAGAACGAAAAGAGAAAATGAAAGGGAAAAAAAAGGACCGAGAGAAAGAGACAGAAACGGCAGAGAAAAACAACACCAAAGAAGAAAAACTAAACTCCTCCCCAAAGCGCACCAAAAGGACCCAGACACCAACAACACAGAGGAAAACCCCCAGGATCCCAACTAAAATCGAGGCAAAGAGAAGAACGAAATGGAGAGATGAAGGCAAAGAAAAAAAAAAGCGAGAGAGAGAGACAAAAACGGCGGATGAAAACAAAACCAAAGAAGAAAAAGTATTAGGACAACAACGAAATAGAGAGATGAAGGGAAAGGAGAAAGAAAAAAAAAAAAAAAAAAAAAAAGCCAGAGAAAGAGACAAACGGCAGATGAAAACAAAACGAAAGAAGAAAAAGTGTTCGGGCAACACGGGTGAATAGACAGAAACATCCACGGCACAAATAAACAAAAAACTAAGACCACAGGGACACAATCGTCATATCACTTTAGGAAAATGAAAAAGACGAACAGGCCCACCAGGCAGAAACGAAAGAAGCAAAAACAGAAAGGGCAAAAGCGTCAGAACACTATTGTAAAAACAGTAACTTGAGTGTAGATGAACAAAGCAGAAAGAGTATAAGATTATATTAATATTTCACAAATAAACAAAAAACTAAGACCACAGGGACACAATCGTCATATCACTTTAGGAAAATGAAAAAGACGAACAGGCCCACCAGGCAGAAACGAAAGAAGCAAAAACAGAAAGGGCAAAAGCGTCAGAACACTATTGTAAAAACAGTAACTTGAGTGTAGATGAACAAAGCAGAAAGAGTATAAGATTATATTAATATTTAATTATATTAATTATTATTATATTATTGATATAATAAAAATAATTATATTATACAAAAAATAATTATATTTAAATTATTAATATAATTATGATATTATTTATTAAAATATTACAATTATATTATATTATACCATATTATATATATTATATTGTAATATTATTATATATTATATTATAACATATAATTACGTTACAATATATTATATATTATTATAGAATATTAAATAAATATATTATAATTTATAACTATATTATAAATTTATTATTACATTATTATAACTATATTTTAATTATATTATAATATTAATGGGTAATTATGAAAAAAAAATTAAAAAAAACTTAGAATGGTCATTCTTCCCATATGAGGAATGAATGATAATTCACTCAAAATGGGTGAGTGGCCATTCTTTTTGAATGATAATTCATTTTTTATAAATCTAACAAAACATCAAATTAGAATTTCATTATATTCTATTACATTCCTTTCCACCCAACTAAGCACACCCTTAGTGATAAAAGCGAGGAGAGGGAATAAAAATCCATGAAAAATCTTATTACCCAATTTACGCTGTAAGGTTCTTTTTTTCCTTATTTTTTTGCTGAATAATTTACGCTGTAAAGTTGAAAATATTTGTTGATATTTCTGTGGATATCACTGTAATGTGATTGTACCTATATTCTTTTTTTTTTTTTTTTTGAAAGGACTATATACTTTTTCAGAGAATGATATATTAATAAATCACAGACTTTTGCCTTAAATAAATTTAAATAATCATATACTTCTTGAAATTTTGTGATATATCTTGATGTGATAAAATTATACCATATAAACAATAATCTATATAATAGATATGCGAATCTACATTATTGTTGAAAATTTTCAAGTCCCTCTTCTTCTTTTTGTTTGTTTTTTTTTCTGTTTTTACCCTAAAATTTATTAATTTATTAATTTTTGTCTTAAAACTTTATTTTATTTTTCTTTAATTTTTTTCCCTAAAATTTATTTATTTCTTCATTTTAACCTTTTTTTTGACCCATTTTTTATTTTTGCATCGATACTTTATCTTTTCCGTTTAGTTTCTTTTGCTCTAAAAAGATATTTATTTCTTCATTTTATTTCTTTTTTACCTTTTTTTTATTTTTTCCTAAAATCTTAATTTTTTATCTTAGTTTCTTTTAATCTAAAACTTATTTATTTCCTCATTTTGTTCCTTATCTTACCCTTTTTTATTTCTACCCTCGAAAATATTTATTTCTTCATTTGGATCATTTTTTAATCCTCTTTTATTTTTTTCCTAAAATTTCATATTTTTACTTTAGTTACTTTTGTCTTGAGACTTATTTATTTTTTCATTTTGATCTTATTTTGCCCCTTTTTTATTTTTGTCCTGAAATTTTATTTTGTTTTTCGTTTTGGTTCTTTTTGTCTTAAAATTTTTTACTTCTTCATTTTGGGCAATTTTTTACCCTTTTTTTTATTTTTATCTTGAAATTTTATTTTTTCCGTTTTGATTCTTTTTATCCTAAAACTTATTTATTTTTTCATTTTAGTCCTTTTCTTACACTTTTTTTAGCTTTTGTCCTAAAACTTTATTCTCTTTTCATTTTTTTCTTTTTGGGATTTTATATTTAAATTTTATATATTTTTAATAATACCATGCATCTAAAAGTTAACACACGGATTGCTGCCCATATGCTCTTCAACTAGTAATATATAATGTTGTACAAAAGTGCTAAATCAGTGGAATGCAGAGTATGATTATTATTAATTTTTGGTAGAGGAATTTTTTTAGAGGATTTTAAAGCATAGCCATTGAAAGTCTCTAATCAGCTTTGTGATCTTTCAAACATGAAAGGTCCTTATCTTTGGTGTCCTTCCGTTCCAGTCCAATCAATTATTTTAAAAATCTCGAGACTCAATAATGAACGGAAAGGACATGACCAATTTGCCTAATTTTCACTCATATTATCATACACTAATGCCACATAACGTATTGGCAGGGCAGAGGTCCTAAATGAGGCTAACCCTAAACACTTCATGATGAGAGGAGAAGAAAAAAAAGGCATCCTCAGCCGAGTGGTGTTAGTGTCAATCTCTTTGGGTCCGTTTAGAAGGTATACTCAAACTATAATTTTTAATTTTGATGTTTGAAATTCAAATTTTTTGTGAGAAGAAAACACTATAACAGAATCAATAATTTGAGTTTGAGTATATAAAACAAACGAACCTAATTTAGTACTACTTGGTTAGTGAGCATACTGAGTACGCTAAGGCCTCAGCCACCAAAACATGACTCTTGGCTGCCCATAATTCTATATTACGAGCATCAAATTGTCAAAACTCCCAAAATCCCTGTCTTCATTGCACTCATTAATCCTGAGGGGTTGAAGTTAAATGGGGCAAATAATCGTCTGTTACACTTCAAAAATCGACAAAAGTTCAATTACTACAAATTGGGTTGTTTGCAATTAGAAAGTCTTGATAAAACACATCCACTTTAATGTCTGAATGAAATATATGGTTCATGCTGCATTACTAGTACTTCAAACTATGGATATACTCATTCTCATTATTGTCTATAATACAATTAAAAGAAAGACTATAGTATTATTTTAATATGCAAGTTGCAAAGCACGAGTAGACAGGAGAGACAAGGCAATATCTATATTCCATATTAATATTTACTCCTCAGGACTCAGCATGTGGATCTGGTGCATCGCAGAGCACCTGCTGATCTTGTTAATAGCCTCACAAACTTGGCATCTACAACCGGGAAACTCTGTTGCGGATTATAGTTCGGCTTTGCTCCCCCAAACCCAGTTTTAATGAAAGAAGCCCCATTTTCAAAAACATCCCTCACAGAGTAGAACTTCCATGACTGCTTGTTCCCAATAGTATCCATTCTCGATGTCACCTGTTTTAACCAGTTGTTGTACACATGAATATGAGTACAATAATAAAAGTGAATATTGTTGGAGTTATTTTACGTGGACTAGCAAAATTGCAAATTAGAGTCACGCGTTTTGTATGAAGCAAGTCATGAACCAATAAATATATTTGACCATATTCGTCATGTTTGGTATTGTTTGGGCCATAATAGGATGGATTTAATTTGCTATATTGGGTGAGTTTTATGGTTTTATATTACTCATAATGTTTTGGTTTGTTCATTGAAATGGATAATTTTCTATAGTATAGGTAGAGCATATTTTGGTGTCTCACAAATTCATCATCTTCTGAAGATGTTGATATTGCCATATGTAACCTATATTGAGAGGAGAAACGAGAGTGGATTCATCATTCTCACCCCTTAATCAGAGTTTTTAACTTGTCACTAGTTAGTCTTGCAGTTAAGATTCTTGCCCAGGCTGTTCATATTATCACAACGACACAATGACAAATTTAAACTCTATTTGATTTTTTTGCTATTTTGCTCACGCTACAATTAGCAAATAGATTGATTATTAAGTGAACATATTCATACTATTGATATTGATCATCATTGAATACTATTGGTATACATGGTATCATTGTAAACTAATTTCAACAAATATTTACTTTACCTCTTTGTTCCCTGATTTGGGTGCAATGAAGAGATTGGCTTCACTCTTGACTCTAGGACTCATGCTCCCCCCAATTGCATACTGACCCCATCCATTGTACATGTTGTTCACCACATGTGCATATCCATGTCTAAGCCTGCAACATTAGTTTTCCATTTGTCCCTTTAAACTAATTCCAATTCTAAAATCATAGTAGACCAAAATTATTTGGTTAACTACCTTGGCATTCTTTGGTTGCAGTTAGGACCAAAATGGTTGTAAATGACTGTGACCTTCATGTTCTTGTCTAGAACGTAGCCGTCATCATGGCCGAGAAGCATGACCTTGTCTTGGTCTCGGAACCAATTGTTCGAGATTGTGATGTCTGTCGTACCCCGAGTGACATCGAGAAGACCGTCCTGGCACTGGTAGAGAGTGTTGTGGTCAATCCAGACCTTTGATGCACTCACTAACCTGATGGCGTCCCCATCAACCTGACCCAGTGGAACCACCTTCCCATCCGGATTCATGACCAAGCTTGGAGCCTGGGGTCGGCAATCGTGAATATGAAGTCCATGGATGATAATGTTGCTCTCCTGATCAATCATATTGCGGAATTCCCAGAAAATACTTAGCTAAGAAAATAAACTTTCCCTAGAAAACAAAATTTATGTGGTGATTGGTGCTTTGCATCAAAATAAATTTGGTAAAGTTATGACATTTCAAACCACATTCACTAGTGTGCCGTATTTTCATGTCTGCACATCATTTTCCTGGTAAAAGTACTCGGGAAATTGTTTCATAGGATAAGGGAAAAAAGTATATGTCTATACATTTTTGTACCATTCTGATTTTTGTTGAGTTTTTATCAAATTATCGCACATAGTATACTGTTTAATTCGATATAATTTTGATGTGATCTGATTATTCATAACCTGTTTTTATGAGTAAAGTTTTTTCCGTACGATACCGCATAATTCTAGCAATATAACGTGCAATACTTTATCAACTCTAATCTCATCGATAACTAATATTAAGACATTCAAAACTTTTACGTTATCAATGTTGATAATTTGTTCAATTTAGGATCGGGTTAAAACACAGTTAGGACAAGTTTCTCCCCTAATTTACCTGAAACACCATCAAGCATGCATTGCCGGCATTCAAAACTTTTACGTTATCAATGTTGATAATTTGTTCAATTTAGGATCGGGTTAAAACACAGTTAGGACAAGTTTCTCCCCTAATTTACCTGAAACACCATCAAGCATGCATTGCCGGCAATGTGAACGTTAAAACCTCTGCCATCAATGGCTGTGAAACTGCTAATAAGAAGTGTTTTCTGTAGCGTGACGCGCATGTCCCTTTGGAACGTGATCCAAACTTTGCCTCTGATCATGGTGGCTCCATATCTCAGCGTCCCCGGTTTCGGGTTCACCGCATTGTCACTCGGGTCCGTGACCGTGTAGTGGATGAGGCCTCGTCCGGCATTGCCGCTCATCTTCCCAGCAAACCCCACGGAGCACATGGCCAGCTGCGGGCGGTTGCGCATCCAATTCAGGTCCCTTCTCCAGCACTGGTCAATGGCGTTCATCTTCACGCCACGGAGTATTTGTTTTGCTTTCTTCGCCGCGAAACCGGGGTTCGAGGCGAGGAGGATGACGAGGATAAGAGCCAAAGCAAACTGCATTGCAATGGCGTTGTTGATGATTTTTGGAGCCATTGGTTGAGGTAAGAAAAAGGAAAGGAATAACGTGGGTTTAAGCTTGTACGTAGTTTATGTTCTTTTTTAGAGCAAAGATTTGGGTGAATAAATATTTATAGTGGGGAATAAGTGATGCTTATTCAGAGCAGTTTGTTTACTTTATGATCATTTATTTATAGTTTATGTTTTTACTTTATGATAATTTATTTTCGAAGGGCGTTATGACTTTTATTATTAAAGGGTAATAATATTTATTTCAAACTCAACTTATCTATAACAAAAAAGTAACACTCGAAACGATAAAATAATTAATTGGAACTTTGACAGTTTATTTAAGGCTATCTATTTCTCTGTTTTAATATCATCATTATTCCTTTGTCTATTCTTCTTTACGGTTTCAATTTGATTTCTATAATTCTCATCGTACTTTAGGTGTTTCTACAGCAAAATCAAAAGTGAAACAGTCAAAAGATGAGTATTCATTTTTATTTATAGAATTACTAAATTACACTTGTAATTTACAAGATTAGTTTAATTTCATGTGGTTAAAATTTCTTTGATCTTATTTGGAAAAAGAAGAAAAGATGTACTTAAACCGATAGTTATGAACAAACACCGTTTCTAATCCTAATTATTGTCTAGAGAGAAGAAGAAGAAGGAACAAGAGAGTGGGGAGAGAAGAAGAACGAGAGAGAGAGTGGAGAGAGAGAGGAGACATAATAGAGACGGAAAAGGAAGAGAGTCGAGAGAGAAGTACGAACATGAGTTTAATTGATTATAGCGGTAGCGATTGGGTTAGGACCGGAAAAAGAGCAACGTGATGGATTTGGAGTGTTATGAAATTATTTTTGAGAAGCTTTCTTAAATCTAAGCGATCTTTTCGTAGGCGTTTACCCTGATATGGATCGAATTAATTATAGAAATATAAGTTTAATTAGTCAATTTGAATTAATTATAGAAACGTGAGTTTAATTAATCGATTTATTAGTGAATAAGGAAAGGTATTAACTAGATGGGTGAATAGATTGATCTTAAAACAACAACAATTAATTACTATTGCTATAAAACAACAATTAATTACTATTGCTATAAAACAAGCTCGACTCCTTTTTGTATAATTATTTTCTGGCATTGACAATAACTTTATTAAGCTTGTAAATACTACCATATCCTACCATTTTCTACTATTTCCCTTGAAAATTTTAGACTTGAAATTGTAAGGCTTTCCCCCGAAGGGAGCCCTTCCAGAAATTCTCGAGGGCCAGGGGCAAGCCCAGGCCCAAGAGGGGGTTTGGAAATAGTTTTCAACCAGCAATAGACGCGCCTCGGTTAGAACCTCACTAGCTGCGTCATTGCCCCAAGCGCAAAGATGACATTAACATTCCCATTGGATCTATTTTATAATAGCAATCCAATCGCTTCACTTAATTCTTATTCGATGTGGGACTTGTAAGTTACTGGTTTTTAGACTTCCCGATTTAAATAAATATTCACACGTTAAAGTTGCCTATTACCATCTCAAAATGCGTTTTGCACTACATCAATTATTTGCAGGTGGATTTTGACATGAATGTCCCAAGAATTTCATCTGAATTTGTTCGACCGACAGAATCGAAAAGACAAGTAACATATAATTATGTTTAAAGGGGGACATAGAATCCAATATCTTCCGTTGATGGGAAATTGTTTAACAAGAAAAGCACAAAAAAAGAAAGCGAGAATGTAATAAGTAGCATATTATGAAACCAAATGAAGTAAATAGTATATTATAAAATTAAATGAATTAAATAGTAGATTTTAAAATTTTTTGAAACAAATTACAGTTTATATAGTTAAATAGTTTATTTATGATTAGTGAAAATATTTTTTTCACATATATTTTCTTTTTATGATTAAAAAAATCATTTAAATAAAGATTTTATAAGATTTTTTACTATGTAAATTATTTTTTACTAGTCGTAAATGAATCATTTGAACGGTAAATAATTTATTTACGCGTAAACTGTTATTTGTCTCAGATAGTTTAAAAATATGTTATTTACTCAATTTAGTTTTAAAAATATGCTATTTACTACAATTTCTCAAAAATGAGAGACTTTTTGGTGTCTTAATTAATATTTAACTAATTAGGTTATGACACGTCATTTAGTAGATCTAAATCTCAAAGAAAAGAAAAGTTAATTAAAAGATATTTTAATACTTTTAAATGACGTGTTATAACATGATTAGTTGGATAACTGTTTTTTTTTTTTTTTTTTTTTTTGGCTAAAATATCAAGGAGTTTACTCACAAACAATCAGATAGCAAAACGTCCAAAACATGGGAATTAAGCATCCCTGGAGAAAGATATTGATCTTCTCCTTCAAATGAATGGAGAACATCAATAATAACGATTCTTAACGAATTCATCACTACCTTAAAAGTGAAAGACTATGATCTTCTCCCCACTAATAACCCACCTTGCACCAGTGCCCTTAGAGCAAACGGTCTTAGGCTAAATAATAATGAATTCATCACTACCTTAAAGGAAAAAGTTATGATTTTTCCCACTAATATTTCAGCTAGAGGTCCACCGTGTTATATTTAATATCCATGCTTGAATAACCAATTCGTCTGCACATGGTGCACAATAAGGTTTCGAAAACCCACCATTTAATTTTGTGGAACATTTTTTTTAAGTAAAGATTTTATTTAAAAAAAATTAGAAATTACAATGTAAATGACCTTATAATACAAGATATAACTCTCAAAAAATACCGATTTCACTAATACAATCTAATAATGTTCAATAAATAGAATGTATTAGAAAAATTTACAACTAAGAGTATTTCAACGTACCAATAATGAGCTCACATTACGTTCTTTATTAAAGCTCTACAATAAAAAAAAAAAAAAAAAACGATCAATTAAGAGTATGTGATACAAAGACCACCAAAAAGACACAAATCAAGAACCCCAAAGGTGGAGAAACCACACCCAGAGTTACAACTTACAAGAATTCTAGCGTGTCTTAGTGGAACCATTTAATTCAGTGGATATCCACAAAAACAAATCTAAGCGAGTTAAAAGACACAAAAAATCCTTAAAATATGAGAACAAATCACCTGCGTGAAATGGTTATTGGTGAGCAATCAAGTCCTTTCTCTTACGATGATTGTCACGCCTCCAAACAGGGGTTAGTGACGTTGAGGCTTATTTAGAAATTTAAACATGTTTAAGAGAGTTTAACAATTAACAGTGCATAAATTTAAGTTTCGAATTCAAAATATTGAGGTATTTCTAAACAAGCCCCACTAATTATGAGAAATTCAGTTTCAAGAAAAGTGGTGAAATTTCCAACCAAACTAGTTCAAAACCTCGCCCTTAGTATCATGTCAGGAATTCCCACAGGTTTAGCATACATGAACATAACACACAAGTAAATGTTGACATCAACCACAGTCTAACAATATTTGAGTTTACAATCCATAATTTAGTACATGCCTTGAGATAAAAGGAAAGGAAAATGTAAATCTTCACTTCTCGAAGACGGGTTCACCTCACTGGTACTAGCTACCTATTTCGCACTACTCCTCGTGTCTCTGGAAGGGTTTAATACATTTGAAACAAGAAAAGTGAGCAAAAGGCCCAGTATGATATAATTTTATAAAACATTATAAATAAAGGTACTCACGGTCCGATGACATACACTTGGAACAGATCATCCTTTTTAGAAAAAGGAAATACTCACATAATAGTAGTAAAATATATATAATGAAAATATACAGAGTCATAACACCACTAAGCAAGAAGTGAATCTGTACGGGTTTCGGGACCTACCCCCAAAATACGATTCCTATATCCCGATCTCTGAGGCCGCCATGCATTTTATCATTTTTTAAAATATTTCATTTTAAGAAATGATACTTTTAAAATCTCATTTCTAAAATCACTGGAAACTCAATAGCATAATTCATGCTATTTCCTTTAAAATCATTTTCTTTAAACATGTTTTGTTCTAAAATATTTTCATTGGCCAAAACCATTTAATGTAAGGCTAACAAGGATATTGGCAAGAATTTCCTACCTCTAGGATGTCAAACCTGTGGCTAACTTCTTGTCACCCAAACATCCACTTTCTTTAAAGCTTTAATAGTCGATCTTTTCCACTAGCTTTATCACAAAAGTAATATCTTATGATATATTTCTCATTCCTAAAACGAGTTAAGCTCAATAATGTTTAATTATTTCCTATTAGTGTGCGTTGACTCAAATCCAAGTTTCACAAACAATTTTATAATTCAGTTTGGGGGTTCTTTAAAATTGAAATCCAATTCATGGGTTTGGTTTCCTATTTAATTTCAGCTTAAAAATAAGTTTTTAAAGAAATTTCGGCAGCATGCCAGCATAAATAGGAAAATATCAAACCTGCAATTCAAGTTCAATTTCAAAATAAATTCTCTAGAAATCATCAAAACCAGTTTCCAATCAATTCAACAAGTCCAATAACTGAAAACCCCAAATTTAATTCAATTCTAAGAACAATTTTTCAAATCCAAACCCTAACTCAAAGTTATTCAAATATAACCAAAATTTTTAATTCTCAAATCAATAACTCAAATTCAAGTATGGGTTTTCAAGAAATCTTTCCCTCAAAGTGATTGAAGTTCGTTTCTCTCCATTTCTCTCATTTTTGTTTTGTTTTGGTTTTTTGTTTTTTTGTTTGTGGGTCTCGGCCAACAAGCCAAGAGAGAGAGAGAGAGAGAGAGAGAGAAACGGTCGGAGAGAGAAGGCCAGAGAGAGAAATGACCGGCGGGAGAGAGAGAGCCCGGAGGAAGAAGGAAGTGGCCGGCGGTGGAAAAAAAGAGAGAGAGAGATGCGGTGGGTGAAACCAGAGGAGAGAGAGAGAAAAGAAAAAGAAAGAAAAAAAAAGAAAGAGAGAGAGGTTGCAGCCACGAGAAGGAAAAGAAAGAAGAAAAAAAAAGAAAAACGAAAAAGAAAAGAAAAAAAAGAAAAACGAAAAAGAAAAGAAAAAAAGAAAAACGAAAAAAAAAAGAAAAAAAAGGAAAAGGGGAAAAGTGGAAAAAAGAAAATGCATTAAAATTTAAGTGTATTTTCAAAAACTTTTCGGGTGAAATCATAAATATTGAAAATAATTTAAAGTTCATTGATTAATTGTAAAAATTAAATTAGACACACTAATAACTCACAATTTAGCATAATTAAACCTGTTTAATTCTTAAGGGCATTACAATGATTGGCATAAAATGAAGAAAAGAAAAACAAAAACCACTTCCTTGTTTCCTACATAGAGCAAGAAAATGAAGAAAAAAGCTTTTATCCTCTATTTTATCTATATTTTGTTTAATTTCCATCAATAATGAGGTTACGTGGGTAGGTTATATGGAGGAATCAGGAATTTCTCCATTTCGGAGGAATCAAAATTTTAGGTATTTGAAGGATTCAAAATCCCTAACTTAAACTCGTTTTCTCATCTAATTCTTATTGCCAAATTACAAGTAAGGAAATATTTTTTTTTTTTTTTTTTTTTTTTTTTTTTTTTTTTTTTTTTTACAACTATAGGTTTTAAGATTTTTTTTTTTTTGAATGGTCCTACTTAAGATTTAAGAACAAACGTAATCACGATTCGTGGAGACAAAGGGCAATTATATCCAGCAAAAAAAGAAGATAAACATCATTAATTAATGAGCGCGACTGATTGGTGCTTATATTTTTCGTTGTTTATATGAACGACCCTACTTTCTACTTTCTTATACCTTTAACGCTTGGAATAACTTCAAGAATCCTCTTTGATTGAAAAAGTAGATGGAAATGGACAAGAGAAAAACATGTTAAATCTTTTAATTAGCAGAAAAAGCATGCTATATATATTACAAGACATTATTCCCTGTTTAGCAACAAAATTTTATTCTATAAATTGTGATCCATGAGTTGCTGATTTAACCAGACTAGAAGCAGCTGTTTCTTAGCCAAATTCACTAAATGGATGTGGGCGATGAAGTGAGTGCTAATGAGCTTCTCCAAGCTCATGGGCTCATATGGAATTGTTCATTAAATTTCATAAAGCCCATGTCACTAAAATGTGCCGTTGAATTAGGCATCCCGGATATCATCAACAACCATGGCCAACCCATTACACTTTCAAAGCTTATTTCTTCCCTTCCCATCCATTCTTCAAAAGCTCATTGCATTTACCGCCTTATGCGAATCCTTGTTCACTCCGGCTTCTTTGCAACTCAAAAGGTTGACAATAAGATTGACGAAGGAGAAGAAGAGGAAGAAGAAGAAGCATACTCTCTCACAATTGCTTCTCGGCTTCTCCTTAAAGATGGCCCTTGGAGGGCTACACCATTTTTCCTTGTCCAACTCGAACCACACTTAATGACACCATGGCATTTTGTCAGCACTTGGCTGCAAAATAGCGACCCGACACCGTTTGAGATGGTGCATGGGAAGACATTTTGGGATGGTGTTGGTGATGAACCAAGGCTCAAGTACTTGTTTACTGAGGCCATGGCTACTGATTCCCAGCTAATGGTCAAGGTCATTGTAGAAGAGTGTAAACAAGTTTTTGAGGGGTTGACATCCTTGGTAGATGTAGGAGGTGGCACAGGAATCGTGGCCAAGGCTATAGCCAAAACTTTCCCAAACATCATGTGCACTGTGTTGGATCTCCCTTATGTTGTCGCGAACTCGCAAGGAGCAAAGAACTTGAATTTTATTGCAGGAGATATGTTCAAGGAAATACCTCCTGCAAATGCAATTCTACTGAAGGTATATATATTACAACCAAATTATTATTACTTAATTAAATCCAACTCTTCATTACTAATGTGTCTGACTTGTGTGCCACGAATATTATGTGATGGCTATTAGTGGATTCTACATGACTGGAGCGACGAAGAGGCTGTGATGATACTAAAGCGATGTCGAGAAGCAATTTGGAGCAAAGAAAAAGGAGAGAAAGTAATAATCATAGACATGGTGATTGAGAACCCAAAAATGGATAAAAAATCAGCTGAAACACAACTCTACTTTGACATGTTGATGATGGTCAACCTCACCGGTAGAGAGCGTAATCAAAAGGAGTGGGAAAGTCTTTTCGTGGCTGCCGGGTTTAGTCACTATAAAATAACTCCAATAGTGGGACTTAGGTCTCTTATGGAGGTTTACCCTTGAAAATTGAATCTGAAAAATACTAGTTCGTGTGAATTGTGTGCTTCTTGGTTAATTAGTGTGTATTATACATGGTTTGTGCTTGCACTTCAGCCCTATGATAGGCTAATATATATATGGGGTGTATTATACAAGGGATGTATATGGTGTGCCTGTCTACTTTGATATTTTGTGTGTTTTCCTTGTACAAATTATGTATTTTGCTTCTTTATAGAGGAATCTAGAAAATTAGTCTTGAAACTTGTGGGCTTTGGCAAATACCGGAGCTGATTTTGAATTTTTCTTATATTATTGTCCCTATTTCAATTCCAACTTTGCACATTAACCCATTTTCACCTAATCATATATAACATAAATTGAGTAAAATAAATTAGTTAGTAGAGAACTAGAAAACAATATAATAAATTAAATACAAAACTAATTAAACTAAATTAAAAGTACACTAAAACCAAATAAACTAAAATGCAAGTAAACTAAATTAAACTAAAATAAATGGGAGTATCAAGGAAATAGCCCATTTAAATGCACAAAAAGTGGTGAAATAACTCTATGATTTCATAGAGTTATTGAGTTATCTTAACACATAATTTTTTTATAGTGCTTTCACAAATCACTTACCAGGCCACCACATAATTTTTTTTTTTTTTTACGTATGTTTTGCTCTTTTAATCTAATTTTGTTTTTAATTTTTTTTAATTTTTTTAATTTTCTAAGGGCTCTTTTATAATTTAATTTTTTAACAACTATCTTTACATCCAATCTAACATCTAAGACATATAAAAGCAATCAAGTGGACTTGGCTCCTAAGGAGCCCACGTGTTGGCCTTCTTCTTCTTCTATTTTTTTCCTTCCATTTTTTTTTTTTAAATTTTTCCTCATTTTCTCTTTTCTTTTTAATTTTTTTTATCTTTTCTTCTTTTTTTTGTTCCTTCCCTAATATTTTTTTGAGAGTTCATCTTTTTATAATATCCTTCTTTAAAATACTTTATTCTAATAAAAATACTTTCTATCAAATATGTCCCTACTTAATTTTTTTATTAAAGACTCCTATATAACTATAATTCTTTTTTTTTTTTGTAACTTTTCATCTTTTCCACTTTCTCTTTTCTTCTTCTCTTTTACTTATTGTTTTTTTTTTTTGTTTTTTCCTTAACATTTTTTGACTTTTATTTTTTTTTATTTTTTATTTTTTCAATTTCATTCTTTGAAACACTTTCTTTTCTTTATTTTGTTTTAATTAAAATAAGAAATGTCTCCCTACTTTTTTTGGGTCAAAAACTCATATATTTTTAATTCTTTCTCAATATGATTTTTTAAAATATTTTTTTCTTTGACTCTAATTAATGGACTTATCTTTTAAGGTGGTTATGTGTTTTAACGTGAGATTAAACTTATAAAGTTATTCTCCACATGGATAGCATATGGCTCAACTAGTCTAATATAATCTAACAAACATAATAGAGCTAGTGCTAGCCCCTCCTCTTACTTTTTTTTTTTTCCTTTTTTACTCATTTTTATCTTATTTTTTATTTTTTAATTTTTTTAATTTTTTGTGAATGTTTTTCATATTTTAATTTTTTTGTCCATTTTTAAAATTATTTTTTTTCTCACTTTACTCCTATGAATGTAATTTTTTGCAATTATTCCTCTTTTATTTTTTTAATGGTTAAAACAATTCTCTTCAAATGTGTCCATCTTTAATTGCTTTTCGTGTAATTTCTTTGATATACTCGTATTCCTTCTTTAGATAAAATCAAAAATCCTAAAATAGTTGTATAAATGAATATATCATTATTAAATAAATAATAAACTCTTCAAGGTCTCCAACACGTCAATATGTTAAAAATTTAGTTTACCATAAAAGTATGATAAGAAGCGATCAATAATGATGCGAGTACAATAGGTCCTGGCTTATTTATTAGAACAGTGAAAGAACCGGACCTCTAAACTTCTAAAGCACCAACCTGTCCAGACGTCTAATAATGAATTCCAACCATGTGGCCGCTAAAATTTTTACGTTATTAAATTATTAGATACAGATTGATATGTTAAACGCGATTAATGATATTAGTCAATCTACTTTATTCCTTCATCGTAGTGGGTTGTTGCATCTAATTATAGAATGCGTAAACGATCCAGAAGAAAATTTTCAACGTTTACTGTAGTATCTCTTCTTAGTCTTCTATGATCAAATGATAAACTAGGTCAAAGTTTTGAAAGTACTATTAACCAATTGAGCAGCAGACTAGGGAGAGAAAGGAAAAAATTTTCTCGGGAATTCTTGCTGCAAATTTTCTCAGGAAAGTCTGTGTATATACTGGGGAGGGATACAATGAGATTCGAGTGTTGTAATCTAGAGATCAATGAGAGTCCAGATCGAATTCCTTGAGGGGAGTTCGCATGGACGTAGCCAATCTTTGGCCTAACCCCATGAAATCATGTTGTTTGTCTTCGCTATCTGCAACTTCTTGTTTATCTGTGTAATTGACCGAAGTTTGGGGCGAAAGAATTTCCTATCACGTAAAATATATGAGCTCTCCATAGCTTTTGTGATAATGAAAAAGTTTTAAATTTTACTTGTTTATGCCAAATTAATTATTGAAAAGTTTAAAACCGGTTTGTTTTATATATTCAAATTCAAATTATTGAATATGTTATAATTTTTTTCTCTCACAATAAATTTAAATTTCAAAAGTCAAAATCAAAAATCATAGTTTGAGTATACTTTCCAAACAAGTCCTAAAGTTCAAAAAGAATATAAATTTCTAATTAGTTTAATTTAGCGAAGGTGAGACTGGTAGCTAGGTAAAGTTTGATTAATTAGGGGTGTTACAAATATGGTGTCCACGTCAGCCGCATACTAAAATGGAAGATGATTCACCAATTATTAAATTGAAAGTTGAAAAGATCACTCATCCGTTTAGAAATTATACTCGTGATTAACAATCCAGTACTTATTATATTCTTATATTAGTATAATATTTCTTTTGTCTTAACCCATTTTCACCTAATCATAACATAAATTGAGTAAAATAAATTAGTTAGGAGAGAACTAGAAAACAATGTAATAAATTAAATACAAAACTAATTAAACAAAATTAAAAAATAAACTAAAATGCAAGTAAACTAAATTAAAATTACATAAATTAAACTAAAATAAATTTGAGTCTCAAGGAAATTGCCCATTTAAATGCACAAAAAGTGATGAATAACTCTATGGTTTCATAGAGTTATTGAGTTATCTTAACACATAATTTTCTTATAGTGCTTTCACAAATCACTTACCAGGCCACCACGTGATAACCCTCGCATTTTTCTTTCCCTTCCCCCTCTCCATTTTTTTTCCTTTCTCTCTCTACTTTTTAATACTTTAAATGGTTTGTTCTTTTTTTTTTTTATGTATGTTTTGCTCTTTTTTAATCTTATTTTGTTTTTTATGTTTTTTTTTAAATTTTTTCTAAGGGCTCTTTTATAGTTTAATTTTTTAACAACTATCTTTACATCCAATCTAACATCTAAAACATATAAAAGCAATCAAGTGGACTTTGCTCCTAAATAGCCCACGTGTTGGCCTTCTTCTTCTTCTTCAATTTTTTTCCTTCCATTTTTTTTTTTAAAATTTCCCTCATTTTCTCTTCTCTTTTTAATTTTTTTATCTTTTCTTCGTTTTTTGTTCCTTCCCTAATATTTTTTTGAGAGTTCATCTTTTTATAATATCCTTCCTTAAAATACTTTATTCTAATAAAAATACTTTCTATCAAATATATCCCTACTTAATTTTTTTTATTAAAGACTCCTATATAACTATAATTCTTTTTTTTTTTTTAAATTTTTCCTCTTTTCCATTTTCTTTTTCTTTCTTCTCTTTTACTTATTGTTTTTTTTCCTTAACATTCTTTTACTTTTTTTTTTATTTTTTCAATTTCATTCTTTGAAACACTTTCTTTTCTTTATTTTGTTTTAATTAAAATAAGAAATGTCTCCCTACTTTTCTTGGATCAAAAACTCATATATATTTTTAATTCTTTCTCGATATGATTTTTTAAAATATTTTTTTCTTTGACTCTAATTAATGGACTCATCTTTTAAGATGGTTACGTGTTTTGAAGTGAGATTAAACTTATAAAGTTATTCTCCACATGGAGAGCATGTGGCTCAACTAGTCTAATATAATCTAACAAACATAAAAAAGCTAGCGCTAGCCCCTCCTCTTACTTTTCTTTTTCCTTTATTACTCATTTTTATCTTATTTTTTATTTTTAAATTTTTAAATTTTTTGTGAATGTTTTTCATATTTTAATTTTTTGTCCATTTTACAATTATATTTTTTTCTCGCTTTACTCCTATGAATGTAATTTTTTGCATTTATTCCTATTTTATTTTTTTTAATGGTTAAAACAATTCTCTTCAAATGTGTCCATCTTTAATTGCTTTTCATGTAATTTCTTTAATGTACACATATTCCTTCTTTAGATAAAATAAAAAATCCTTAAATAGTTGTATAAATGAATAAATTATTATTAAATATATAATAAACTCTTCAAGCGTCTCCAACACATCAATATGTTAAAAAATTAGTTTACCATAAAAGTATGATTAGAAGCTATCAATAATGATGCGAGTACAATAGGTCCTGGCTTATTTATTAGAACAGTGAAAGAACCGGACCTCTAAACTTCTAAGCACCAACCCGTCCATACGTCTAATAATGAATTCCAACCATGTGGCAGCTAAAATTTTTACGTGATTAAATTATTAGATACATATTGACATGTTAAACGCGATTAATGATAGGAGTCATTCTACTTTATTCCTTCATCGTAGTGGGTTGTTGCATGAAATTATAGAATGTGTAAACGATCCAGCAGAAAATCTTCAACGTTTACTTTAGTATCTCTTCTTAGTCTTCTATGATCAAATGATAAACTAGGTCAAATTTTCGAAAGTACTATTAACCAATTGAGCAGCAGACTAGGGATAGAAAAGAAAAAATTTTCTCGGGAAGTCTTGCTGCTTCTATGATCAAATGATAAACTAGGTCAAATTTTCGAAAGTACTATTAACTAATTGAGCAGCAGACTAGGGATAGAAAAGAAAAAATTTTCTCGGGAAGTCTTGCTGCAAATTTTCTCGGGAAGTCTTGCTGCAAATTTTCTCAAGAAAGTCTGTGTATATACTAGGGAGGGATACAGTGAGATTCGAGTGTTGTAATCTAGTGATCAATGAGAGTCCAGATCGAATTCCTTGACAAGACTTTGCATGGACGTAGCCAATCTTTGGCCTAACCTCATTAAATCGTGTTGTTTGTCGTCGCCGTCTGCAACTTCTTGTTTATCTGTGTAATTGACCGAAGTTTGGGGCGAAAGAATTTCCTATCATGTAAAATATATGAGCTCTCCATAGCTTTTGTGATAATGAAAAAGTTTTAAATTTTACTTGTTTATGCCAAATTAATTAATGAAAACTTTAAAATCCATTTGTTTTATATATTCAAATTCAAATTATTGAATTTGTTATAATGTTTTTCTCTCACAAAATATTTGAATTTCAAAAGTCAGAATCAAAAATCATAGTTTGAGTATACATTGCAAGTCCTAAAGTTCAAAAAGAACATAAATTTCTAATTAGTTTAATTTAACGAACGTGAGACTGGTAGCTAGGTAAAGTTTGATTAGGGGTGTTACAAATATGGTGTCCACGTCAGCCGCATACTAAAACGGAAGATGATTCACCAATTATTAAATTGAAAGTTGAAAAGATCACTCATCCAATTAGAAATTATACTCGTGATTAACAATCCAGTACTTATTATATTCCTATATAAGTATAATATTTCTTTTGTCGGTGTAGATCTAATTATTGATCATTAGTCATAATATTATGACTATAGTTATTCTCATATGCTCTTACTCGTGATGAACGTTGTCGCTTTCCTTATTAATATTATTTCTTTGTCGTCTGGAAGAGCACAAATTCAAAAAGTACATGCATATGTCAGAAGTATATATAATAATTGTTTTTTTGGCTAAATAATATATATAATAATTAGTTGCGTGTGAAAACTATTTATAATAATTAGTTGTAAGATCATGTGGGAAATATATATAATAATTAATTAGTTGCATGTGATTATAACACTCTGCCATATTTGTTTCTAACGGGTAAATATATATATATTTTTTTCCTTAGAGGGAGGGCAAATGTTTTCCATGAGCTCTCCATGATTTTTAGTTGAGTCAACTATTGTGACTTAAGATTATTCATGTAAGAGCAGGTGAGAACTATATATGATAATTAGTTTTAAGAGCATGTGAGAATTATTATTATATAGTCCATAATATTCTTTGTCTGTAAAGTTCTAATAATTAATTAGCTATCTGGAAGAGAGAACATATTTAAAAAGTACAAGCATATAAATAATAGTTAAAATTATTCTAGTCATAATATCTCTTGTCCAACAAAAGGTGTACGTGTATTTTTAATTAATTGGGGGATGGGTTATATCACTTAATATTGTATATACATACGGATTCTTTGAATTTTTCCTCTTGATAGAATGATCTAACTGCTTCTATAAAAGGACATTCATAACAGCAGGATTTTACATGAATTGAAACTTTCAATTTCAAGATTTTTAAGAGAGGAAAAAAAAAAACAGAGAATAAAAATGGAAGTTTTTAGTGAAGAAGTGATGAGTTCTAGTGAGTTGCTTCAAGCTCACTCTCTTTTGTGGAGTAACTCAGTACATATTGTTAGGAATTTGTCATTGAAGTGCGTCATTGAACTAGGAATACCAGATATCATCCATAAACATGACCAACCCATTAGTCTTTCCAAACTCATCTCTGCACTTCCTATCCATCCTTCTAAAGCTCATTGCATTTATCGCATTATGCGCATTCTTGTTCACTCCGGTTTCTTTTCAACCCGGAAACTTAACGGAGAAGAAGAAGAATCATACTCTCTCACAAACGTTTCCCGGCTTCTCTTAAGCGACGGGCCAGCTTTCATCAAAATGAAATCATTTTTTCTTTTTCACCTTCTTCCCGAAGTGGCGGCTCCGTGGCACTCCTTGAGCACTTGGTTACAGCACAGTGATGGCACAACATTCGAGCACGGAAATGGGAAGAACTTTTGGGATTGTCTCGCTGATGAGCCAAAACATATTCATCTCTTTAACGAGGCAATGGCTAATGACTCCCAGCTAATTGCCAAGGTCATTCTAACTGAATATAAGAATGTGTTCGAGGGTTTGGAGACTTTGGTCGATGTTGGAGGAGGCACTGGAACCATGGCCAAAGCCATTGCTAGCACTTTCCCACACATCAAATGCACCGTGTTTGACCTCCCGCATGTCGTCGCTAACTTAGAGGCAACTGACAACTTGAATTTTATCGGAGGAAACATGTTCACTGATACTATACCTCCTACGGATGGAATTTTGCTCAAGGTATGTGTATATTCAACCATTATTAAGTAATCATGCCAGTCATACATCATCTACTAGGCATCAATATCTCCATGCCTTTTCGAAAACAGATTCATGTGTTTTAAACTATAAGTTTGTTTTGAACCAACATTTGTTAAAACGTTTTGATGGTTGGTTAAAACCCATAAAAGTTCAAACCATCATGCATCGTGCCTATTTATCAAATGGGCCCTAAATACATGGACATATATTGTTTAACACATTTGAGCCGTTTTAATCTTTTAGAAATATCTCAGATGTAGAACGTTCTTTTCTTGTTGACTAAAATATACTTGTTTTTGCTTTGTCTCTACTAGTGGATACTGCATGATTGGAATGATGAAGATAGTGTTAGCATTCTGAAGAGATGTAGAGAAGCAATTTTGAGAAATGGTAAAGGAGGAAAAGTTATAGTTATTGAAATGGTGATTGAGAACCAGAATACGAATGAAATAACTGGAATACAATTGTCCTATGACGTGATGATGATGGGCAGCTTCTTCGGCAAAGAGCGTAACTTAGTGGAATGGGAGAAGCTCTTCTTCGAGGCTGGATTCAGTCACTATAAAATCAATGCAAAAATGGGAGCAAGGTCTCTCATTGAGCTTTACCCTTGAGATCATCTTGGTGGTGTTGTTCGATTCTCACGTTTGAATTATATAGAATAAATAATTTACCAATAGTACTTGGTTTGAATAATGTGTAACTCTCTTCTCATAGTGTTTTTTTTCCCTTTCCACCCTTCAATCAAGAAATGAAATAAAGATATGTGTTAATTTTCCTCTTAATGGTCAATATATATTTTCCCTATATCTTCATATCAGTTCTCTTGATTTGGTCAAAGATGTTAGTTATAAAAAGTTTTGATAAAAGAATATTTGTTTGTAGATAAAATTATTTTATTTTTATTATCACTACCACCATCATCATGCATTTTGAATGTAATGGGAAGAGAAAACATGGTATTGAGACTGAAAAATACAATGTCTAAACTTAGTTGATGATGGGCTGTTTTTCAACCCAGCAGGCACAGCCCACATTCTTTGAAGAATAAAAATTAAGCACTGAAAATGGTGCGTAATAAAACAAATGAGGAAGGCAGTACAAACCACATTCTCTTGATTTGTCAAAGATATAAGTTATGAAAATTTTGATAAAAGAATATTTGTTTGTAGATAAAATTATTTTATTTTTATTATCACTACCACCATCATCATGCATTTTGAATGTAATGGGAAGAGAAAACATGGTATTGAGACTGAAAAATACAATGTCTAAACTTAGTTGATGATGGGCTGTTTTTCAACCCAGTAGTAATGCGAACCACAACGGACTTGCCGTGGAAAAATTGCCCAAGGAACTAAAAATCAGAATTGTAATGGAATGAACAAACTTTAACTTGATGTTTATCAACCAAGAACCGAAGTTATAATGAACCCGACCCGTTGATTATCAAACAAGAACTAAAGTTGCAAAGAAAAAAAAAGAACTCGACCCTATGATTATATGAATCAAGAACATTAACTATAGTTTGAACGCCACAAGGTGACAACCTTAATTAGTTCGGAAGTTGAATGAAGAACCAAAGAGGAAGCAAAAACCTCACAAGAGTTGTAATTTCAAAAGTCAATAATAATCCAAGTTGTTCTTGCCGATTTCATATATCAGCCACCAAACAAAAAAGACTTCCTATGACAATTAAATTCTTGCCTGCCTAGCACTAAAAAAAAAAAAAAAAAAAAAGGAAACAAAATTTAACTCCTTCCATAAACACACCATTTTCCAAATTAAGGAAAGTCAACAAGGCTAAAACATAGAAACTTCTTTGTAAGGCAATTTTGACCATTCAATTCGCCAACTAAGGGCTGCAATTTTAGCAGCCTCCTCCACGCAATTTGTTGGATCAGAAATGGCAAGTGAAATCTGTCCAACAGTCTCTAATTATGGCAAATAGATTATGTAATCCTTTAGTGTATGATTCCCACGCCCATTCCATGCACAAAACACCTCCACTACATGCAATCAGACTGATCTATTCTTGACTTGCTGGCGAAATTGTATCCTGTAGACATTGATCGGCCCGATCTCAATCTTTAATGCAAACTAAAGCTTCAACAATATCCCTTTGCAATACATTCTGGCGTTCCTCAAGTATTCTTCTTGTCATACTGAAAGCTTGTTCGGATGAAATAGTGGAGACTGGGATAAAAAATATATGCATTGCCAATCGAGTTAGGATTGGCCAAGTTAATACCCATGCCCTCCACCATTGAACTAAGTCAATTGATTCTGCCGTAACGTCGACTACTAAGCCTTCACTGAGGTATGCCATAAGCTCGTTGAAGCTGCTGCCGCCGCTGCCACTGCCACTTGTTGACGAAGATTCACTCCCAGCTTCTGTTTGAGTTGTCTTCTTCTTCTTCTTCAACCTGAAAACATTCAAGAATGAATGCGGGTTTTCATCTTGTTGTTGCGGTTCCTGTACTCTAGGAGGTACTCTAAACCTAATCTGATATTTACTATAGATCAAATATATTTTTTCCTTTATTATTGGATATTGGTCCGAACAATTGATGCCTAAAAATTCACCTAAATTTTTTAAACCACTTTCTAAATCTTCTAATTTTAATCTAGGATAAAAAATAGTACCTAAACCATACAACAAAGGAAACTTAGATCAATATTTTATAAATTTTTTTCTATAGAATAAATAGGAACTGCTAGGATTGGGTCCTCCCTATATTCACTAAATAAAATACTAATGCGTAAAAGTTATCCTAAAGCTAAAGGTGATGTTGGGTAATATGTTCCACTAAGTTTAATGCTTGTAAGAACCTAAACCAATCTTCTTGTCTTTGGTTACTACCTTGAATCCATGCAAGACTATCTCTAATTCTTTTAATGTGATTACCTATTTCTTTTAAACCGGATTTAACAATTAAATTAATTACGTGACATGCACAACGTTGGTGGAAAATAGTACAGTCACCGAATAAACTTAAATCATTTTCAAAGAACTCAATTGCTTTTATATTGGCACTACTATTATCTAATGTTATAGCCATTACTTTATCTCTTAATCTAAATTCATCAATTACATTTAAAATGGTATTATATATTAAATCCGACGATTACAGCTAAATAATCTTTATTGGCAACGGTAGACTAAATATCTGCCGTTAACGTAACGCACCAGCTAGTTGAGTGTAAAAAGTTTATTAATGCTTCTTTTTCTTTTTTAAATAATTTTAATAAATCTTTTCTAAGAGTAGTTTTTGAAGTAAACTGTGCATTATGATTATGTACAACCTTAATATATCGTTACCAATTAGGATTGTGACGACCATAACTTTTGATCATCATCTTATGTTCATACTTAACCTTTACTACTTACTAGTTATAACCTCTTAAAAATTCAAGCCAGTTTTCTTTTTCATTCTTACCATGTACGTCTAAATGCTGTAGCATTTAGCTAGCATTCTATTTTCAACTATTCGTAAAATGTTGTAGCATTCTGACAGCATTCTGTTACATTAGTCATTCTCAAAATGCTGCAGCATTCTGTTACATTAGTCATACCTAAAATGCTGTAGCATTCTGACAACATTCTGTTACATTAGTCATACCTTGTGACTAGAGGTTGCTATTAATCGCCTCACTGTCTCGTAAGCTTAACTTTCGTTACATAACTCATCTATATTCATAAAACACCATTTACTTTTTACACAAAAAGTTTAATAGCGTTTCCAAAACACGTGATCCATCCACAACCCACTTGCCCACTCCGCTGCTACATCCGCTATGCATGCCCAGCAATAAGTTTCAGGGAGCCGGTGCCTTACCCGAGCTTCCTACAACACAAACAAACTTAATGAGCTTTCGCTCAGCAAGTATCAATAGGTCATAACATATGCAATAATTATGCATACCCATATATGCATGCATGTCATAAATCATAATACATTATGTACTACTAAAACATGCATGGCTTATATTCTTCTTCTTTCATTTCATACTTTGTTATGCTTTTGTCTCATTTTAGTCGTTCACATTATTTTTTCACATTCTGAACAACTTTCATTTCGTGTTTCTCATTCTTTTCATTCTTCTTTACAGATACCGTACCTTTATATGGAATGGTTTGTGTTTTTCATTTTCTTGTCTTTTACTTCTTATGGGCCCAGTCCTGTTGTACCATAGTGCGCATAACCAGTGAGGAGTGGGGTAGCTAACCAATCCAGCTCAGTCACGGTTTCATTTCTTTCAGAGTCTCATAAATCTTATGCATTTGTTCATTTTTGAGCAATTTATCATGAGATTGACTTTTCGTTAAAGTTTAACTCTTTCTCTTAACTTGACCTTGACTTATCATCGATACATACTTTTCACAGAGTAAAGTTCTACGGCTACTTATGTCTTGTAGACACATGCTTAACATTGTATCTAACATTCACATTGTATCTAACATTCAAAATTCTACCATATGCACAATTTTTTTGTGCAACATAGAAAAGTAGCTTGTTCGTGATATAGCCATAGAAAAATTATTGTACTTACAAAAGTTTTGCCAATGATGCGTTCTTTGTCTCACTTGACGCTTTCCGACTTCAATTGTTAATCGATCCTATTGCATAAATTTCCGATCATTAGATTCAAAATCCAAGATCAATAATCACATTAAAATTCAATTCGGAAAGGTCTACAATCCTTATGTTTGGTATTCAATCCCAAAATATTTTCTATCTTTAGAATTTGCACTAAAACCGTGCACTTTCCTCAGTCATGGCCCTAATTTCGCAGTTTCGGTCCAGAACTGTAAATTCTCATTGTGTTCGGTTTCTATACATCATCGATTATCGAAACACCTTTCTTTTCACACTTTAATCCCTTATTCCTCTTGAAATCCGGTTTTAGTTCAAATTACTCAAATTAAATTTCGGCAGAGTTCCGCCCGAGCTAACCTTAGCTCGTTTTATCCGTTGTTTCCACCACCAAACATAAATCACATACTTTCTCTTTCAAATACACCATAAATCTTAATCATAGTTTTAGGGTTTTCTCAACTTTTTCAACAAAATTCTCTATATCAAAATTGCTAGAAACCAAGGTTAAATAACAAAAAAATCTAACCTTAGATTCTTAGATTCCATGTTCTCAAACCATTTCAAGCAAAATCCCTACCTCTAGAAAATTTTTCCCTACTCTTCTCTATACATCCACGGTAGCAAAGAAAAAGGAAAACAAGAGAAAATCTTGAAATCTCACTTTAGGAAACAAAGGTCAATTTTTGGTGACGCGATGCCTCGGTTACTCCGTCAATTTTTTTGGTCTAACTCACTTTTCCCACGTTGGAAGTTTTTTTTTCCTCTCTATTATTCTTGGATGCTCTCTGGTTCTTTTGCCTTAGTTCCTCACTTGAACCGACTATCACAAAAGCAAGGACCAATTTTTGTAAACTTTGACTTTTCAAGCACCTTTTTGCAAAAAAAATCACAAATATATATTGCTTCCACAAAGAGTTGGCCGGCTGCCCTTCTTTGCTTTGTCCACTTGTTAAAATCTCATGCATCCAACCTTTTGTTACTTTAAATCTCAACTATTTATAATTTTATAATTA